AGGGTTGTAGTAATTCTATTCTTCACGTTTGACTGTGTGGGATAGGGGTAGTCAGAGTACCAAAACAAGAAAATGCAGTTCGTCAAAACCATATAACTGTTGGACATTTTAAGCTGCAATTTCCCTTTTTCAGTCTTGAAAAAGAAATTTTAGTTTTTCTATTTGGAACAAACGAAAATGAATTAAAATACCTTGTTAAACCTAACGGAGAGGATGGATAACCGACACAAAGGAAATACACTTTATTCCCAGAGCAATATTGAGCTCTTTTATGTACATGTACTAATCCATCTACTCATAGATTGTCCTGAAACAAAAAGCGGATCAAACGTCTCAAACACTATTCACTTCAGATCACACCTCAAATTTGCCTGGTACATTTTCCATGGCCGTACTCAAAACCGTTGAATAGGTAGGAGATAAATTAAGCTCAATCTAATGAGCTTTTACTTGGATATCTCAAATTGTTCACAGTTTCTGGATGTTTTGCAATCTGCTGTGGATCTTGCTTGTTTATATGGTGCTTCCACTACTCCGACGCAGTTCCTCTAGTGCATCTATGTAATGAGATCCGATAACCTATAGACGTGAAATGCCCTCTCAGAACAGATCATCAAAGACGCAATCTCGGTCAGATTTAGCTCTGAATTCCAAATAGGCCACTCATAGTCAGCTGCATTTACGAAAGGCATCCTAGAAGGAAATGTGCCATATTGAACAGGTCACTGCTGACGGGCGGTCTTACCAGATGGTTATACTTTTATAGAAATGATGTGTGTATTTTGGCCAATAAATTGCATTGGGGTGGCACTTACATCTTGGCCCCACGAAATGTACCAGCCATGTTGTTTTGCTGCTGTCAGTTAGCCATTGCAGATGACAGACTGATGACCTACCTTCATGCAAGCGCACTTCAAGTGAAGTTGGAGTGATGTCTACAGGGTTCTATGTCCAATTAACGGTAAAACGCCAATTAGGATGCACCAGAGTATTACGCCACAGTTTCTTTTACAAAATAACGTCCAGATGACGGCGTGAAGTGTATTAATGAAGAATTCAGATGATAGCTTGGGATCTCTAGGTCGGCCACCAATTACGGCATGACATAGTCACAGAAATGCAGGCATGGTAATATGTCATTCTTTCGAGTGGCATGGAAAGTGTACCTAATGAAAACGGTAGATTCGATTCGAATTTGAAATTTTCGACTAACGAGGGGTGGTCTAGCAGTATTCAGATCCCGTCCTCCTAAAAGCGCGTTTGGCGCTGACTTGCGTCCCCTCACATCTATGGTTTTAACTGGCAGTCTTAAGCAACAGAGTTTTACCGTCCCACTTATCAGTCTGTAACCAGTTGAATCCGGTAGGTTCACGTTTAGATTGTTCGCGTTGTTGTTGGGGAAGCTTCGTTCACTCTGCAGAGATGTCCTCACATACTTATCAGATATGACCTTAAGTGTGTCTCTGTCGTTCACGTGACCAACTATTTTCACTGATTCCATCAGTTCGGCATATGGACAGTTGGCAGTGATTTATTTTCATTTACCGTCTTGATGAGTGATATCCGCGGTCTAATGGCACTCGGTTTCCAAGTTAAACAGTGGTTTTGCAAACAGCTGTGTCCGATAGAGTCACAGATGGCAAGTATGGCTTTAACTGAAAATATTACGTGGAATATAGGAGCTCTGAAATGCTGTATAAATGTGCAAAAATATGGATTTCGTCATAGAAGTCGGTTAGAATTTTGACGTGACATTTCTGACGACACGGAATGACTGGAACATAACCCAAAACTGACTGTTTCGTGCGTTTCGACGTTAAGCTATTTAGCGGAACTGACTCGAATTTTGTGGAATGGAATCACATTTGCCAAACTTTTGATTTTGCCTGGTCCAATACTCAGTGGCAAGTGTTTGGCACCCAGTCGCACGGCTCGCCTGGTCTTTACCGCGTTCATGAACACAAGAACTGGTAACAAACAATCACTCCTGAATCAGAAAGATGACATCAGATAACATGTGAACTGAATACTGTCTGGTAGGGAGATTAAGATAACAGAAACGGCTGCTCAGATGTTGTATCTCCTGCGTTTATGGGCGTGAACAGTGCACATGATTTTTCGCTAACTGATCCCGATGAAATATATGTAAGCTGTTTTTTCCTGAGCAACGAGTTTTATGCATTCATTTCATGTGAATTACCGTTCTATTCATTTTCAGAAGGTAATAATTTCCAATTTATCAAGAGTCTGACGCCACTCCACAACTAATTCTGAGGAGGGCGTTCACAGTTGTTTATGACGTACTGTTCTCTTTTGGTTGTAATCGTGTTTGAAGTGGACGTGGTCTGTCAAGTGGATGATTAACTTGTCGTAACAGAACATCAAGAGGTTAGGACTACCGTGCATACATAAGCTAACCAAATCAAATTTGTATTGGTCGGAAAATCCTTGATCGCAATGTTTTGCGCATCTTAATTTAATCCATCTGGCGTGAGGACTTTTCATGGTTATTTCTTACATGAAACACGTTCATCACCTGGCGGCAGCCGACTCTCCAAGCGCACTACAGCCTTTTTTCGCCAGCGATTGACGTTGCCGGACACACACTAAACGAAAACCTTCAATAAACTCCATCAAGTGCTTGCAGAATGACGCAGTTAAAATCCAAACGCACCATGGAGTGCCGAATATTGTCCAGGAAATTTCTGAGCACCGGTGGCTAAATATTTTGACTCCACAAAGATCGCTAATTTGGAGTAGCCAAATTTCACAGACGTGTCTCAGTACGTAACCTGCATTTGACATTATAATTTTTCTTGGCACAGATTAGGGACTGTTTGACGCTTTAGACTCAAAATCATATCTGCACTTGCATTACACAGTACGTTTTTCATAGGAATGGGGAGCCAATACATTCATAATTGATCAGTATGAATCCAGTGTGATCAGTATGAGTATGAGTCTTCAACTCGTCATTGGCTAACATTAATTTCTTCTTGTCCGATTAGAGTTTATGTATGAAATATTTTGAAGTAAGACCTTTCTTGTGTTTTTTTTTACTGCTGTTTAACAATTTTCCGTTAGATTATCTAAGAGAGGTAGGTTTTCTCACTACTTTTTGTATGCACTTCGGCCGAACCACATACTGTAAGGCTTGTTGATTTCGCTATATCTTTTCCTCTTCTTAGTGTCATTTTCGCTGCTTTTCTGTGTTCCCATGGTTGGCTGTCATACGCCAACATGCGTTGACACTAACACTAGTATCCACCGGAAATACATGCTTAATCCATCAATTAGGCCACCACTAACCTATTTTCAGACTATTTCCATGCTGATTGAACGAGGGATGTTTTCATTATTCGATTAGGTTTTAAGCTATCGTCCCACATGAAGCCAGTTGGCTATCCTTACCATATCCTTTACCATATCTTTACCATTCCATTTGCGATCACTTGATCTCTTCATCACCTTAGGTCCGCTCCTGTTTGTCCTATGTTTTGAACTCCACACAAATAATATATGTGTCCCTTATTATACGGTCTTCCATTTTCCTGTATAAAGGTAACTTTTGGAAGTACAATTATTGTTCTTTTTGGGGGAAATCTTTACGTACGAAAAACAGACTACCTAGTAAGCCATATACTTGCAATGCTTCGTTTTGCGGGCCATTTAATCTATGATATTTCACTCAAAAATGTCTTCGAAAGTAATCAAAACCTGCTATCTATAGACACTTATCAGGCGATTATTTCGGTTCATGAAAGCGAATTCAAACACCACGGTAACCGAGTCACTACGGGCCAGTATGCATGCGGAATGTGCATACCTTTATTCCTTTCCTGAGTCAAACCCACTGTCACAAAACCTGGATTGTGAACGGTTGATAATTCACTCATAAAATACTAGTTTCCTTTCACAAGTTACCCAGCAGACTGTGATAACTGGTAGCAGCATCAGGTCACTCGTGCGGCTCACACTTATACCTGTCCAGGTGTAAGTATCAGTGAAAGGAAGAAGGCCTTCGCTGTGGAGTTCTTCATCAGAAAATGCCAACTGAGCAGTTACAGACTATTGGAAAAGGAAGCAAAACTCTCATACGAATCCTGTTTACAAAAATTGAATATCCATCTTCTCCTTGAAGGCGTCTTCCTGAACTTTACTGGATATTCGTAGCTTATTGCTCAAATCCAAGCAAATGTGACTCTACAAGTTTCATAATAGACCTTACTTTTCAAGACACGCAAAGCGGATTTGAAAGTATACATACTACTCGCCTCCATCAGTAGTATCACCGTAGTTTGGCGGAAATGAAAGGCTGAAGAATGCTTGTGACCGCTGTAATGTTCCTTTACTCGTAACATAAAATTCTTCGCCACAACTCCAAACCTATTCAACCAAAGCTATTTATTTCCAGCTAGCGGCGTGCGGCGACATGACCCCAACAAATAAATGTTGATGACGTCGATATATGTTTGGTACTTGCCACATGAGATATGCGAACATGTTCGCTTCCAAGTCCGGTCTTTGTAAGCCCTATCATCTGACACGAGCTGAATTCAGCTAGTGAATCATAAGACAAAAGCCAAAACTAGCGATGTGGGTCATCTCAATCGAGTGCACGGTTGTCGAGTTACAGGATACTGGATAAGTGTCAAAAATGGTCCGGTCTGCACTAGCCCTATACAGTGTAGATATATAGCGCATTCTGGAGTTATGGAATTGTAATAATGCGTATGGGATGACCACCACTGGAGTCAAATAAGGTTACTGAAACGTACTTTTTTGTTTTGCGTGAGGTTTTTGTGTGAATATTGGCACTTGTCTAGTGGTTGGGAGTTGCCTATCTTGTGGGGATCTCTATAGGGTAGTCCTCCGTCTAGTGCAACGAAAAGCGGGCAAGTGTGCAGCTTAACTCTTATGAGGGGGCGCTTTTTGTATGGGGTAACTCATGTTATAGAATCACTTCAAGAGAGTGAAACTTTCTGGCATTTCTGGTCAAGGTTAGGAGTTGATATTCAACGCACTTCGCGACTTAATGGGGCGTTTTTGTTCCTTTCAAGTGGATCTTACGACGTGTTTGTTGAAGAACAACCGGCAGGGATCTACAACGGTGCTGGATATTTTGGAGAGTTGGCCTTGATGTACAACACACCCCGAGCTGCAACGATCAAGTGCACTTCAGACGGAATTCTGTGGAGAGTGGATCGCTTCACCTTCCGCAGAATTGTTTTGAAACAGGCCTTTCGCAAGCGTCAGCTCTATGAAACCTGGCTTTCCAATGTCCCGCTCTTGAAGAACCTCAACTTTTACGAACGTAAAAACCTGGCTGATGCACTGGTTAGTGTGACGTTCGAAGATGGCTCGTGGATTGTGCGGCAGGGCGAACCGGGTGAAGTGATGTACTTCATTGAAGAAGGAAACGTACAAATCTCCGTTAACACATCGGTGAGTTGGGTTGACTTCACCATAGAAATGACGTCTTACGTGACATGACAATCCGTGTTCTCTCGAGTTTTGGAGGGATTGTGCTTGAGGCTGTTTTGGAAATTTCGTCAGATATTCCTGTTTATCTTCATTACTAAAAAAATCGTCAGATCCGCGTATGTTTGCTGGTTGAATATATTGCTAAATTGAGTGAAAATGCAGGAGATTACTTGCCACACAATAAACTATTCCATCGTTGATTTTCGAACATTGAATAGGGTAAATTCACATAAGGGGATGCGAAATGCATATGCCTCAATCTTCTAAGGTTCGACTGGCCTCCCCTACCGCTATTAGGCTGACGTCATTTCGAGTCCCGGACTATAAATCTACGGTGCGAAGCACACTCTTCGTGACTTTTTCAACTGTGTTCAAGCATACCAACACAAATCCAGAACCGGATATCTTCCTCGACATTCCAATTCAACACAATTGGTCGAGTTTTATGAGGCCATCTATTCAAACCAGAGGAGAACTGCTACTCGGAAATCTAACAAACCGATTTGTACTGTACAAACAGTAATTCGTTATCGTGAGTTGAGATGTCTGATTAGTTCAGTGCTCAGTCCATCTGCGGCAGGGTATTGGGAACCAGCGTAAACAGCTTCATAAACTTATACGGCCCATTTTACTTTTAGTATGCTGCTCTTTGTCTCGAATTTATGCGAAGACTATAACTGGCACGGTTGATCTTTTATACCTAATCTAATGTCCCAGGAACTGTATAAAACGAAACGAGTGGCATCAGAACTTCCGCATAATCCAATGCAAGCTTCTGAGATGACCTGCGACTAAAGAGGATATTGCTAGATCAGGTTGTAACAATCAGTGAAACTCTCACGTTGTACCCCCTTCCGTGTTGTTGGGCGTTTTACTGTGCGAAGTCCTTTATAAGGTTATTTCATCGCAGCGAATCAATCCTGGGAGAAACGACTGTCGCTTATTCTGGTTGAAGCGTAAACTGCTTCAAACTGGAACACAAGTAATCTCGAGCCGTCTTCGCCCAGGCTAATCGATCCTGTTTCGAACCCGACCTCTGCCTCTCGAGTCCTCCTGTCTAGGCTAGGAAAACCTGGCAGTACCTCAGCCCTCGTGTTTTCTTCGGGTTGCATGGCAGCTAGGCACCGGAAGAGTGCTACGGCGGAACGATTTTTCTCATAATTAGCTTCTACACATCTTGAGGTTCTGCGTTTGTTTAGCATACCAACTGCTTCATACCAGTGGGTTTATTTGGACAGAAGACTGCGGAAGACGAACCGGGTGAACTTTTTTCTTAGGATGATATCATTCCGGCACCTCTCCACCTACACCTGTGCAATGATTCTCAGCAGGCGTTCTCTCACATTTCGTGTGACGTACGTAGTTTGCTCTGGCTAAGAATCACACTATCCACCAAGTTTTCAAAAAGCTCCCCATAGCGCCAGGGAAACCAACGGAAGAATGCACTCAGAAATGACTGATGAAACTTTAGTTATTTTTAGCGTTTGAATTTCGTAGATGGATATAACCATGCCCAAACTGATTTACTCAATTTACTCTATGAATTTACTCTATGATTGGTCATGCTGTTGTTTCCAAGACACGACAAGATAATTGAAACAGTTGCAGTCTGGAATGTGCAGCTCTGTTATCGGGTGTGTAGAGGAAATACATCTCCGTAACTGATGGCTGATAAAGGCTGCAAAGATATTCGTCGGACCGAACAAAATACAGTCCGGATATATATCGATTTAGTTCGATGGAAGACCTGGCTTTTTTGTGGGCGCATGGGTTGCCGATTGAAGCATATAATAAGATGGTAAGTAACTCGTTATATCTCGGCATCAGACATGGTTAACCAGTGCCTCAAGGCCCATCACACTCGTAGCGTTGATTGCCCTACTTGCAAAACCAGATATGACATGGCTAAACAAAGGAATACTGTGTTGAATCTAACTTGACCTTACTATAATTCCCCATTCATTTGCTTACTATGCACTTTTAATCTCCAGTTGTTTTGCTCATCTGTAACCGCAGAGTCCGTCCCGTCCGATAATTGTGTATTGACATGTGTCTGTGTGTGAATGTGCGCAGCTGACCTACCTATCCATAAGTTCCGTGTGATCGTACGGCCAATGGGTATCACGAGACTGTCGTCGGAAGGGACGACCGCAACCCATACTATTGAGCCATCATTCCGGTCGCCGTTGTTTGGTGTGCGGACATTGACACTGCACTGTGCCGGTCAGTGGCGGACCTGTGCACATGTTGACACTACGAACGCGTAGAATTACGAACCCTATTCTTCCTTCTGATGTTCATGATTGTCGAACTTACGCGTCACTCAGAGTTCCGTATCGGGAACCTAAACAATCGGCTGATAATGTTTAGACGAAAACACATTACCTAGAATAGAGTAGCCTACATGAAAAATTTGGTGTTTGTGTGACAGTTGAGAAAGACTGCAGAAAAGCACGTGGAGAAGTGAAGCAGGAGAAACTTTCACAATGGAAAACAGATCCCCATGTAACGTCTGGACGTGCGCCTCTTAAGGGTGTCTGTGAGAAGAGAAACAGGGGAACACGGAATATTTATATTAGGATATTCGTACGTATAGTGTGCAAAAAGGGACTTCATCATGTGGTCGATGAAATCTGAACAAATCGCAGAAATTTCGTTGAGATTTGTTAAAGAAAGTTCCGTGTGGGCAATCGTATATCCTTCATTTGTAGCCCCTATCAAGAGGTTAGGTAGAATGGGATAGGAAGTCGACAAAAAGCTGAATGTATGACACTAATGTAGTTTATTTGCGGTATCCCTAAGAAAACCCATAGTGGATAAAATAATGACCAAATAGACCACGAAATGTAGGAGTTCTGACTTCAGAATTGTCAGTTGTTGTCGAAGAAGATCATCACCTAGTCGATTCGAAGGCAATCCTCTAGCCATCTTTATTTAGCTAAACTAATTGAACGTGTCTGCGCACCATTTGTTTTTTGTACTACAGGGATGGAAACAGTTATTGAACAGCTTTTAAAACGACACGAAATTCACAATGGAAGAAGTTGAGGACAGATAATTGTCACTTTGGACTATAGAACCGATAACTACAAACCGAGCTAAATGGGAGTTCGATACACAGCGATCAAACCCTGGACTGCCATAGCAACTGTCCCGCCTAGCGCAAAAAAGCTGCATTAAGATGCTTGTTAAGAAAAGTGAAGTGCAGAGCAAATCAAAGGAACAAAAACCTACACGAGGGAAATTCCTAAAAAAGTCTCTCTAAGAAGGGAACCTCCGAAATGTTCTGTTTCGATAGCCTGCCAAACTGCCATTTTACAAATAGTTGACATAGTGCCTGTCCATGTTTTGGACAAAACTGAAAAGAGGTTACAAAGTTTTTTTCGGAGAACAATATGCAAGCTCGAAGAAAGAAAATTAACAAAGCAAGCTTCATTACGGAAAAGTTTGGTAAACGCTACGTTATGCAAGCAGAGAGAAAGTGATTCACTACACTGCGCAAATTAGAACATGTCAGTGAAGGACGAGACCTACCTACATTGTTATCTGTAGACGGAGATTAGGAGGGGCGAATTCCACTGTAACTAAGTCCATGTGCTCGTAAAAGTGGGAGCAAAAGGCAAGAGTGGATTCATGATGTCGTGTCACCAGGCTGAGAATACCATTGACAGCCAAAAATAACCAAACTTGCTAACCACCCAAGATTAAGGAACGTCAGAACCCTCGAGCTCAAAAAGCACACATGAGAGCAGAGGAGAAGCGTACTGAGGGCAGAGCAATCCACGAAATTCACCTAATTAGATCAAGATCATAAAAGTATACAACGAGGCCTAATGTTCTCCATAAATTACCAGCAAATAACTAGTAAATCAATCGATATAAATCGGTGAACGAATGGAATATCGGACCACAGTGCCACAGAAGCGGTGAGCGAACCAATCCCATTGAACAAAGAAGCTCGTCAAAAACAGCAGTTACCAAAATGTCAACTCAGAGGAGAGCTACATGGATCAAACCTCAAAAAACCTGGACAGCAAACTCTTCAAGGGAAAAGCGAAACAAGACAACTAAAATAAACGTATTAAACGAAACAGTCAAATGGATCATAATCAGACCACGACAAAACACCATTTCCAAACAGATTAAGTAATTTACGTGCAGGCTCACTCTGAGACAACTACTTAGTTTTCAGACTATGTAAATATATACATATATCATCATCGACAGCATGACATCAGTGTTCAACACCGATGCTTCACTGCCGTACAACCAAGATTTATTTGGAAGCCTTATTGTAAAGAGAAGAGTAAACCTGGACAGGGAAGGGACTAAGTAGTGTTGAGATATCAGCAGCGGGTCTCCTTTGCTAGTATGTCACCCTGGTGAGTCTCAAAATTCAACAAAATTGTGATGTTTTTTTAATATCAGTTATAAAGTATGCATTGTAAGAAAACGTTACTTTATACTACTACCGGAGTAGTGCGAATTCCAGTGAGCATTTTGCCGCACCTGCTCTAACGCTCATACTGGTTGACCAGGACAGTGGCATTCTGATCTTCACCGAATAATTCCCATGGTGTGAGTGATAACCTCGGACAACTATGGACAACCTCCCATGAATGCAAATGAATGTAATTGTCCAACCTCCAACCACGCATTTTCCATTTCTAATCAGCGCTGTAACTTACCTGAACTTTGCTTAATGGGGAAAGGTTCATTTGTAAAAACGATGCATAGTATGGTGGGAAGAAATATGATCTATGGAGAAAGTATACCGATTTGTGGCAGCCGGACAACATCCGCAGTGTATTCATGTGAGATGCTGAAAACTTGAGCCCTTCTAAGATGTCACTGCTCTTGTTTTCGATTTTACAATCAATGTTTTATTACTGTATGATAGAAATGGGGCTTGAGGCTCCACTCAATCCAAGAACCATTTCCATCAATCTATATTGCTGTATAACACAGCTCAGCACACTCATTCATTTCCCTGCTTAATTTACCTCGCCTTTGTAACATACTCTGAGTAATGTGTTAAGTCTGTACAACGCTTACGTACCGTACCAACTGCAACATGAGGTGGCCTGGTGCAGCACGTTCAATTAAAGGAGAATATCATAAACAAGAGATTCAGTTGGGTCTATCGTTAAAAAAAATTAGCGTGTAAATGGGTATATTTCACTGACGTGAGATAGTTCAAAAGAGAGAACACGCCAGTCCTGTTTATAGTTTCAGCACTTACTCGACTACTACAATGCATGTTAACGTTCCTTCTATACACCAGACTGTTCACTTACTTCTCCGTGCGGTGACCGTTTCCCTAGAATGAGCGAACTGACTCTAACTGGATTTTTGAATCACCGCTGCTTATAAACTGCGTTCAGCCGCCAGATCGGAGCATATTTTTTTCCGGCCTCTGCACAGCTATCGAACGATTTCATATTGCAGTTTTGGGGGTTTTGCGGGATAGGTATTTTGTTCATGGTCACACCATTCTCGTTTGAACGGTCGTCCTCCTGTTCTCGCGTAATTATTCCGGCGAATGCACACCAAACGGAAGCACTGGATTCGAGTCTCGCTCTTATACGGTGAATCCACACCAAAGGGAAGCAATGGACTGGAGTTTCGCTCCTGTAAGAGCTTATCAACGGTGCATATCCAATGGCTGTGCCGAGAATTCGAACCCCGAACATCCGACATGTGAGGCGAGCGTGCAACCACTACTCCACCAAAGCACGTTGGACGCATCTGGATTTTCAGGCTGGTATTCTAACACGGAGATTTGAAATCGTCCCTTTTTCCTACATGATTTTCCACAACCACTGCGCACATTTTGATTTTTTCGCTTTAAATTTGCTTTAACAAACATCTGTATGTATTAATTCCAACTGCAATTCTTTTATGATATATTTTTCCCTCGGTGTTTTTCAGAGTGGCGGGTCTATTTCCGTGAAGACGTTGCACGAAGGAGACTATTTCGGGGGTCAGTTCACCACTCTTTTTTTAGGCATTTGCTGTTTACTCAATTAGCATTCTAGTATGTCCGATAGTTAAACGGCAAGGTAGACTAGCCCGAATCGATACCATCGAAAACGGGGGCATCCGTTCTTACCAGTGCATGGTTCGCGGCAAGATCTCGGTTTTGTGTAAGTCTCATCTTTCCAGTTTCCTCACAGTAGCATATAAGGTTGATGGAAACTCGGGGAGTGCGCCTACCTGATGAGCCCCACGAAGGGCGAAACCGGTAGTGGACTGTCGAAGAGTTTTCAGTAACCTTGTGAGTAGTTTCCCTCATGTATTCATGATAAATTGGTCTCCACAGTATCGGATTTCATTCATCCTTGTTCACAGAAACCACAGGCTTACAGAGGGAGGATATTTTTTTCACAGGGATCACTGTAAATGTGGTATAAAACCCTGTTGGTTTGGTGTCCGTTTGAACAATACTCCTCCTGAGTTTTCCATTTAAACCTCCCAGCGATCAACGAGAGCCGGCAGTCCCCATCTTCTAGGCGGCACTGTAAAGTTGGTTCAGGGTAGTTACAGTCATTCGTTATTTTCCACATAGTTCGGTCCCGTCCCAACATGAGATCCTAAAGGTTTTAACACCTCTACTCGAGACCAGAATTTTTACTAAATACCTATGTGGATAAAAACATGTATTATTTTTTACCTGAACCCATGCTTTTCACTGAATATCTATTGGATGCAATCATGAACCAGACGAAAGATCATCCATTTGGATGTGTGTATCCGAAGTGCTACTACGTCCTAACTAACTTAGGATGTACGGAATGCATTTTACTGAGTGATACGAAAGGTTGAATTTAATATGACCCTTGAATTCCAGGTTGTAAAGTCTTGGTTATTATGTTGCGACCATGTGTGTTGTGTCGGTTAGGACGATGTGCCCTGCAGAGGAACTAATCGAGTTCTCAAATGCGTCATTTAGAGAATATGTTGTCTTTCACTTTCGGGGCTTCTACAGAGTAAACTGATGATGCATGAACACATGGTATTCAGCGGAATATCCATTGTGACCAAATCAAATAGTCCGAAGAGGAAGACTGATACCTTTCTTCGAGAAAATAGTTTGCAAAAAAAACCAAAAGACCCAGGGAGACCATTGTGGGCTAGGCATACTGGAACAAAAAGTTCGTAGAGAGCGAACATTTCTGTGAATATTACGAAGCTATTTTACATTTGCTGAAAAATGCCAGTTCGCGTAAAACGCTTGGGGATGAACTAGTTCCCGTAGTCGCCGTCAGAAGAAACGTTCTGTGAAGCTCAGATCACCGCGGTGGTTAGGTGTTGGTCATAGAAACAACTTTTACCAATCTCGAGTGGAAAGTAGTCGGATTATTTTTACGTCACATTGTTTGTTTTTAGTTATTGCCGGTAGTTCCGGCAGATATGGACTTTTTTCAGTAGGAAGCCAGGTCAACACACCAATTACAAGAAGTAATTATGGTCACCTTATCACGGTCTCTATTTTTAGATTGCCTGTCCCACATTCCGGACCTAACCCCAGTCTAGAAAGTATGGAAACTATTGGCTGCGCTTGAAATCCGTCAGACTCGAAAAAATTAGACAGCTTAGTCTACTGGCAAAAACTGGTTGTGTATCGTAAGTGTGACAGGAGCCAATGCGGCGCGACAGAAAAGCTTTTTTCCCAGACAGTCGATCAGATAGATATAAACGTGATCGATCAGGTGCCCGAGACTGGCCGATAGGTGATTACACTACCCATCGAACTGATGACTGTTAGCCTGGTTATTCGACTTTTGGTCAGAACACGGCACTTGAATTTTCCCGCTAATTATTTAGGTCGAGTTACTTCGCAATTATGGGTGTCGGATAACTGAACGGCTTTTACACCCACTTTTGAAGCCTGAGCCTCTATAAAATCGTTTTTTTCACGTAGTGATACGATTTATAGAACCGTTGATATTCACCAACTCGTTTGCTGTCTTTTATGTTGTTTAGTCGACTGAGCGGTCAAAAGCTGGCTTGTGAAAGGTTTGCCTAATTTGTGACTACTTCGCACAAGACAGTAGTTAAAAAGCGTTTGAAACAAGGGCCATACATCACAAAACCGGACAGGATGGGTGAACATCAAGAGACGGTTTCTCCTTAATGGTTGTCCCAAGCGCCATTCGTCACGAAGCCATAATGCATCTTTCTTCATTAACAAGTTGATGCGTGTTTTATGCAAGGTGAACAAACTTAAGAGAGTTCTAAATGTTCCCCGCCTCAATATATCTGGTGTCTTTCCTGCATTATTGACTCGTCCACCTCAAAATCCAGCTCTCTGTGATCAAAATATCTATTCACACTTGCTTCCATAGTGCTCTTAAAGGTTGCAGAGTTTAGCGTTACGGTCAATTGACCAGTCAGACTTAATGTTAACCTCCACCTTTCAGAACTCGCACTGATTTTGCATGCACCCCGTCAGGCGTCTGCCATGGCTGTTGGGAAGACTGTGCTTGCTGGTGAGTTACACGATGCTTCCAACTTTGCCGTTATGTGTCATCATGTTTCCTGTTCGCCTTCTAATAAGCGTTTGATTGGTGTTGTAGTGGACGAACTTCACGTACTGTTTATGAAACCGATACAAGCAGATCAAGAATGACGTTTAACTGACACCAAATGAACTCATTTTATCGAGGGAGATGGCAACACTTGCAGCAAGTGAGATAACTCGGTGATCGCTAGGTGAATCTCGAACTACATCCGAAAAATCGTACATGAACGACGTTCATGATCCTTGGGTATGACAGCAGTGTTGAAACAATCTAACGCTTCCCTGAAATAAGATCAGGTCAATTTATATGATTTGAGCATTATATTCTACCAAGTCACACGCCATCTACCTTTTGGTTTACGCTACAAACAATCAGGCACGGAAAGTGAAACGGTTCTGGGAAGAAAGCAACTCACTACTGAGCTACTCTAGCTCGTGTTACTGGATTCAACGCTAAGTAAAACACGTTCCACATTGCCGGAAATCTGTCTGACTACGACATCACGGATTCTTGACACCGGTCTGTATCAGCAATGGTCCTTGAAATTTGATTACTGAAAACCGGAAGGGCTTTGATCACA